TTTTTTTTTGTTATATCTACGAAAAAGTGAAATGTACATTTTAGATAAGAAAAGCAAAAATATTGTTTGTTTGTTTTTTTATTTAATTAATATTCAATTAATAAGTTCTTCATCTTCTTCTTCATCATGCATATTATTATTTTCTCCATTAGTATCTTGGTTTTTTTCAATGAACTTTTGTTTTCCCATACTACCACCTGTTGATCGTCGTTTTTTAACTGGTGCTGATTCACGAGTTTGTAATTCATTTCGATATAATTTTGATAAAACAACAAGTTGATGTTTAAGAACAGCTAAACTACTTGATGATTGAACATCATTGAGTAAATCATTATCATTCAGAGTATTTTTCTCAGTAAACCATTGAGGATTTTTTGTAATTAATGATGGATGAGAGAATAAAAACGTATAAAACCCTAGTATAATAATAATAATAATTGAAGAATAATTAAAATAGAATTATTAAACTTACATTCTTGTGGTATATCAACATGTGTTCGATTAAGATTTAAACAAAGTATATGTTCAAATCGACGTTTAGCTTTTTGTTCAGCTTCTTCAAATGTTTTTGTTGAACCTAATTGATCAAGTGCATCAAGTACTTCTTGTTCTTCAAATGGTGATAAAAATCCAGTACGAATATCATGTTGTCCACTTGATACGGATGAATTCATGAAAGCTTGTGGTTTTGTTATTGGTTTTCTTTGTGTTGTAAATTTTGTCGTTACAGTTGGACTTGCTGAATTAAATTCAGGTGCTGGACTATCGTCATTACTTGATGATATCGATGGTTTATTAAGACGTGGTCGTCCACGTTTTTTTCCACTACTTGTACCATTAACTGTATCTGTTCGAGTAGATTTTGTTGGCGTAGTATCAACAGGATTATTGACCGATGCACGTGGTTGATATGAAACTGATGAACCATTTGCTGTTTGTCCAAAAACAGTTGCTGATGCAGTTGAATTATTTACTTTTTCATCTAAATGAATCGATCGATTTATATAAGGACGTTTTGTTGGTGGTGTTGTATTTGAATCTGAATCATTGGATGTCTGTTTACTAAGTTTGATTTTAACAGAAGGAGTTTTACGAATCGGTGTTTCAGTTGAAGAATTTTCATCATCAGATTTAAATTCAAATGTTTTTTCAGCAAGTAATGAACGATCGGCTGGATCTAATGTTGATGTTGACATAGGTTCAGATGATTCTTCAGGTTTTGTAATCGATGATTTTGTTCGACGATTTGATTGAGCTTTAGGAGGAACTAAAAGAAAGAAGAAATAAAAAAAAATGATATTATAGAATGAAGAAATTTTCTTACCAAGTTTATTTGTATAAAATTGAATTTTAGGTTCAATTTCTGTCAGACGAGTTTCACTTGTTTGTTTAAGTGCAGCATCAGCTTCACGTACGGCTGATTCCCAATCTTCACGACGACCAATAGTAACTTTTAATTGAAATCGTTCAGTTAATTGTTCTTTTTGTGATTTTGTTTGTGCCTAAATAAATCAACAATTTAGTTTTTCTTATAATTATTATTTTCTTGTTATCAATACTTTATCAACACTTTCTTGAGCATATTTAGTAAATGCTTCAACACCTTTATAAGCTATGATTGCTGCATCAGATACCCATGCAAAATCAGCAGTTGAACCATAGAATACAACAAAATACATTCGTTTTGCTCGAGCATTACCTAAAATATAACAACATTTACTTTTTACAAATAGTTTTTATCAATATATATTTACCGGATACTTTTGTATAACTTCCATTTGCATCATTTGGATCAGGAATAACAAGACTTGGCCACCTAATTATAATTCAATATCAATAATAATTTTAATTTTTCAAAACATTTTATCTTACCAAGGATGTCCACCCATTTTTACCCAAACGACATCGGCAACATCATAAAGTACTGGAATATTTTTATCACGTTCCTGTTCATCATCAGCATCATTATTTGCTTGTTCAACTTTTGTTTTATTTATTTTATTACTACCATTCGTCATATTTGCTGGCACTTCTTCACCTAAATATTGATTTACGTATTTATTTATTTAATTATTTATTTTAAATTAACATACGTTTAGAGAATGTACGTTTTGGACGTCCATTTGATATATTGTCTGTATTTTCTACAACAGTTTTTTTTGTTGATCGTTTTCGTTTACCGGAATTATTTTCAGTTGCTACTGGTGTCATTTCTTCTTCTTCTTCCGCTACACCATTAACTGGTTTTTCTTCTGTCGTTGATGTTACATTATCAGCAGAAGTATCTACTGATGATGCATTTGCTATGGTTTCTGATTGTTCCGTTGAAGAAGTCATTCGTTCAATGATCGTACAATATTTTTTTTAACAATGAAATTATCGATATTTATAGATATAGACAAAGTGAATAGAAAAATGAATGAATGAATGAAACGGATAAACAAAGCATAAAGATAATTGAACCAATCAGATATTTTTCTTCGTTTGATATTATAAAAATTAATTTAAAATGAAGATTAATAACGTATGAATTTTTAAGAATTATTTTAATTAAGTTTATTAAAAAGATTTAATTAAATACATAAATATATTTTGTAGTTAAGATAAATATAGAGGTCGTTGCTATGAATTTGTCAATGAAATAAGATGTAAATGTCGATTAATGAGAAAATGTAAAGTATAAGTATGTAAATGTTTTTACTGGCATATTATTTATTTTCAAACAAAAGAAATGACAACAGTCGAATTTGGAGGTGGACCGACACTTGAAGCACGTCGACAATTTTGTAATCTTAAAGATGGTTCACAAGTACCAAAGTAATTCTAACTAATACTATAGAAGAAGAATTTTTTATTTGATGCAATATGGAAATTTTAAGATATATCTATTTATTTTCCGAGATAAATCATAAGGTTATGAAAATGCATTAAAATACTTAAAAACTTGAAAAAAAACTTGTTATTATTGTTTTTGTTATTAGTTATATAAACCTCAAGACATTTATTAAAAAAATAAGATCTTGTTTTTCAAAAACAAATAAATAAGATTGATAAAAACATGACATTGTGAAACAGATATTGTAGGATATCTTCGATTTGTTCATTAATTTATATTTGAAAGAATTCTTATGTCTGAATAATTATCTTAAGAAACCATAGAAATATATTACTCGATATTTTTATGGATTCAGTATCAATGTCAATATTGTATATGCATATATTTAAAAAAGAGCTGATTATTTGTTTGATCAACAAAATTAGATAGTCATATTATTTTAATTGATTAGATATACAGGACATATACATCAATTGCGCTTTCGTAATGGATCTACATATGGTGATGAAACATGTCGTTTAGCTAAAGAATATCCTCAATTAACACGTTCAAAATCGGACTTACCAACTATAAAAATTGATCAATCTAATCCTTATGAAACACGTGAATTTCCAGATGGAATGCTTCCAGGTTATACAGGTGTAAATTTTTTCATCATAGAATATCGAGTTGTCTTATTGATATGAGCATTTGTTTTATATTAGGTTACATTCCGCAACGAAAATATCAACTTGGTAATCGATATCGTGTTGAAAGTAATCTATGTCAATCAACAACGAAAGCTGCTTATGAACAAGCAAGAAATCAAGCGAAAGAATTACGAAATTCAATTGCTGGTTATCCTAAACCACAGAATTCAAATAGTGAAACAGTCGTAAAACATTTTCTTGATTATCATCGAGCTTATAATCCATCTGCAAATGCTCAGCAAAGTATTTAAACAAAAAAAAGTTATAAATTTTAAGTTTTCGTATTGAAATAATATAGATGATCGTCGTGTATTTGTTGAAGCACCAATTCCGGGTTATAAAGGATATATTCCTCGTATTGGTCCAACAGATATTGCTGTTGGTTTACGTTATCATGAAGCAGTTAAAAAGGGTCTTAAACATTTTGCTACAGAAACAACATATTTAACAAGTTTCTTGCCACCATCAAGAGATATAACTACTCCATTAAAGTAAATATTATTCGAAAAATTTAATTAGATACGATAAAAAACAAAATCATTTGATTTCTTTCAGTCAATCAAACTATTCATCTATTTTTAAACAGGTTTTCTATGTTTTTTAGTATATCTATGTCTGTAGAAATTTCGTATTCAATGATTCGAAATAGTAAAAATATTCTTTTAATTTTTTTATTTTTATATTTAAGTTCAACAAATTTTTCTCAACAATATCCAACAACAAATTCATCAAATCAACGATTATATGCACAATCTGGAATGATTCCAAAATATACTGGATACCTTCCTCGTATAAAACCCTATTTTTTTTCAAAAACTTTTCTTTATCGATAATTATATTTCTAGAACGCAAATATCGTATTGGACAAACTTATGGTGATACAAGTCGAGGATTGCCTGTTTGTACTCATTCACTTAACAATTACGGAGATTTTCTACGATCGAAAACATCAATCGGTGTGAACAAAAACATTGCTAATTAAATTTTTCCCTGTGATAGATTTATTTTTATAATTGACTTGTATTGTCTTTCATATATATACATTCCATTGATTAGTTAAAATTCATATTTTATTTTAAAATCCAAACTAATCATATTAACCGAAAATAAAAATATCACATCTGACAGAATGTTTTTAAAGAAGAAAAACAAAATTTATTCCAGTTCGTTTTTATCCGTTAGAAATTGTGTTAATAATAATGGCCAGTAACGTTCTAATTGAAGTATTGTTGATTCTTTTCGAAAAGCATCATCAATTGCTGATTGTACTAAACTTTTTGCTAATATCGATCGTTCATTAATAATCTTTATTATCAATATAAAAATATTCTTATTTAATAATAAATTTGTTTTCTTTAACTTACTGGATTAAGTTTTGTTTCATTGAATATTGAATTTAATTTTGTTTCAACAGGAGGAGGTATTGGACTACTCATTTCTTGTATTAATTTTATTGCAGGTTTTTGTTGTGTAACTGATGATGTTCGATTGAGAATCGGTGGTGGAATATTTCTTAAGAAGATTTTATTATAAGATAAAAGATAAATGAAATTTCGTTTTATTACCTGCCAGAATCAATATCCGTATCACTTCGTTCACTCATAGAATCTTGTTGATTTGAAATAACATCAAGAGCACGTCGATCACGATATTTATTTGTTGTTTCAGGATTTAAATTATTCTGTTGTAATCGCATAATTCGATTGATACGATTATCCTTCAAAAAACAAAATGAATATAAATCCTAACTATTTATTTATTTACTATATTCATTGGTTGACGAGAATCTTGTTTCATTGGAGAGGAAGGATCAGTTTGAGATAGAATAATTTGTTCATAAGAAGATGGAAATGGTAATGGATTGCCTTCAAGTGATAATAATTTAAGTGTCGTAAGTTTTGATATACAACGCATATCTTCATATTTTCGAATTTTATTAAAATTTAGAAATAATCTTTGAATTGGTAATTTTTCAAGATCACTCTAGTATTTTTGAGAGAAAGAGAATGAATTAAAAGAAAATAAAAATTTTATTTTTACCACAGAAGTAATAAGATTTCCTTGAAGATTAAGTTCAACAAGATTTTGTAAATGTCGTAAATTTTCACATTTTTCTATTCGATTATTTGCTAAATTAAGAACACGTAAACGTATTAAATGTTTACAATTTTCAATTCGAGAAATCTACATATAAATAAAAATTATTTCGAAAAAAACAATATAAACTAACTTGATTTCCATTTAAATCCAATACATCAAGTTGTGTAAGTGAATCAAGATTTTTAATTTGTTTTATTCTATATTCAAAAGAATAGAAAATAGATTTTTGTCTTACTAATCTTACTTATTATTGGCTAATCGAAGAATTCGTAATAAACTTAAATTATCTAAACCTTGTATACAATCAATTTCATTTTCACATAAATCAAGTACAACGAGACTTGTTAAATGATCAAGATTTGTTATTTTAACAATACAATTTTTTTGTAAATTAAGTAATTTTATTTGTTCATTATTTTGTAAATAAGGACATGCTAACAGCTGTTGTCTAATACATACATAAAAAAATAAATAAAGTATTTGAATTTGTTTTATTATTATTATTTAAATAAACCTTTCACATATAATTCTTCCGGCTGTTTGTTGAGATGAATTTGTAGTTAATTCTTCTCGGGTATTTAAACCTGGATTAACACCTTGAATACTAAATGCAGCATCATTTAACGGTCGTTTGTTCATCTTTGAAAGCAAAAAGAAAGAGACTAAAATCGATTCATAAACAAATATCTTTATATGAGTTGTCATGACTCTTTCCTCCTTTATTCAAATATGTCG